CTCTCGCCATTCGTGGGCATACTTCTTTCTAGTCTTCATGTCGACGATTTCGAGGTCATAGCCCCATCTTGTAGCATATTTTCGCTTATTTCGTACGCTGTCCCGCTCGATTGCCCACTCTCGGGCACCTTTCCATTCCATGACACCTCCTCCCACGTTCGCTGCAAGGATGATGACGAATTTTGAGCCGCCTCCACCCCAACTTGCTCTTCGATACCAGTAGACAAGAGCTACGCAAGTCTGGTGTCAGAAATCGTTTGACTCAAACTTTGGTCGCGTTCCAAACGGCGAGGATACGGAGCACTTACGAGAATGGTAGAAGATGTACAAGCAAAGTAGCAAAACAAGAACAATAAGAAGTCTGATCTTCAGCTTTCGACCCATGCGGCCAGAGATTGATCGTATTCTTCCAATCAATGGTATATTCTGACCACGGAAAGGTTTGTCCTTGTCGCCATATCGTGGAATTGTATTATTCGAGTTGTACCGCGGAAGGTTGCTTGAAATTCGTCGCAAGTGGCGAGCAAAGAAGCCCGAATTATTTGTTGCAAAGGACGGGTAGCCGTTGGCACCGAGATGTCTCATTTTTGCAGATTCCCAATGTACCGGGCCGGAAGTGGGAGCATTGGCTGGACTTGACCTGCCACTGTTGATATTCAGACCAGGGCTCGACCAACCACCACCGGGGACGGGTGATGGGCTACGCGACAAGGACATTGGAGTAGCGGGTGTACCTAAGCACGACATGAGGCATTAGTTTGTCTGACGATGGAGCGAGTTGTGCAATCGCGTATGACTCGGCATGTAACCTGCAGGATCGTGGTGCCACAGGGATGAAGTGATGAACCACCAGCCAGCACAATATGGCTAGGACGTACCAAGGATAGGCGAGAGAGATGCTTTGTTTGCCAGCGCAGGGCGGATCTCGAGAAAATTGCTGGATTTCTGCTCACTCAGAGTATGGGTTCCAGCCGAGGAGCGTCGTCGATGGTGGGACGGCACAGGCCGGTCGTTGACGGAGCTCGAGGAGCCGGCGGTCAGCTTTGGAGAAGCCAGTTTGAATGTTTGACCGTCGCTGTCGAGTATGAGGCTTGCTAGGTGTGATCAGTCATCCGCAAGGCCGCCAGCTGGGATGAAGGCAGTGAGTGGAGCGCGATGCCTCAAATAAATTGAATCGGGGACGCGCAACTCTGGTTTCGTGGGAATTGAATCGCGCGACGCACGAGCAGCCACCGTGGCTCCTGTGTCCCTTGTCCCCAAAGGGAGTACTGCGTACCGTCAATATCGCTTTGAGACGGAAAGTAATATCAACTCGCTCGCAAAGGGGGAAGTAAGGAGAGAGAGAAGACAAGAAGTGTCGGCGATGAGGCGCGCAGACCACGAGGCCACTCACCAGTTGATCTTGGCACGAACCCAAAGAGTGGTGCCGGATGACAACCCGTTCCTTGCCAGAATCCGGGAGAGTTTTCTTTTTATTTATTTGATTCGGCGATGCTGCAGAGGGTGGATAGCTAATCAAGGCTAGGTAGCACAAGAAGTGTTGTTCTAGCTTTTCGTTACGACAGACGACGGGGGTAATGCTGGTTGACGCAAGACTCGAGTGAGATGAGGCTTGGCTGAAAGGTGGCTTGGATTGCAGGTGCTAGCACCGCAATGGCATGGCAAACGGGCTCTTTGGACGCGCGGATTTGGCGGTTCGCAGGCAAAAGGTTGAAAGGGCGCTGCAAAACTCTCAGTCTCGTATCTGCGACTTTCTGCAGCCGTGACTGAAGCGTTACCCTGAGCTTGGATTTTTTTGTTGGCGAGTTTGGACGAGCACTTGAGCGCACCGGCACGGGAAATGGGCCGCGAAACAGGCAAACAAGCCAGGGCGGCAAGTACCCACGTACCTGCTTTTATGGCATGCGGCAGGGAGGCACGCAGGTACTCGGTACTCGGAACTCGCACAACAAGTGAGACCATCCCATCTCTGTGGTCTTGCGCTCTGTACATGTACGGAGTACTGGAGTACTAGTTCCATGTCTCCTTATCCTTGACGGAGTAACTTATTCTTCTCGTTATTACTACTAAGACCTAGGCAAGTACGTACTTACTCCCTACTACTAGTATTGTGCCACTGGGGCCACCAGCAGAGATGAAGAAGTCTGGTCGCCAGTCGCACGCAATCTTGATGGCCGCCCCCAAGCGGGCCAAAACATATGAACTCGAGGTGTTCGCGCGCGACGCAAAAGAATTTGCTGGGCGCCCGGGCAAGGATTGCGGCGGGGGGGCGTCATTGGCGTGCTCCGTAATATTTTATCAGATAACGGAGTCATAGTTGCCTCCAAAGTACGTAGTAGTACTACTCCGTACCTAGGAAGGTAATCAGTACTGTAGTGACTCCTGAAGAGTCCTCCTGAATACATGTACAACAGTCCTCCTCCCGACTACAAGGCACAACAAGCTGGCCCGAGAGCGAGCACTCGAGGCAGCCTGCCGTCAACTCATACAAAGGCTGGTCAATTTTGATTCCGGCTCTTTGCTGTGCTTGTGCTCTTCTCAGGGGCCGCAAGGCCGAGATCTCGACACGGCGGTGAATTTGACTTTTTTGGCGTTTTCCTTCGTTGTCGCAAAGTTCTGGCATGTTAGGTGCCCCGTACCTTGGGCCAATCTTGGCTCAGCCGCCAATCATCGACCAGCTTTCGCAAAGGTCAATGGCTGCATGTGGTGGCTGGAGCAAAAGTATCAGCAGGGAAGACCAGTTGACCTTTCGCAAAGCGCGGCAGGTGTTGCCAACATTGAATGGTTGCTACTACCTACCGGTACCTGCTAGTGCTCTCTGGTCTCTCTGCTTGCCTTCTCGCCTTGCTCCTGCGACGTTACATCTTCTGCCGCCTTGTTATGTCTTGATGCTATTACGGCTTTGTGCTTGTGCAGTCGCAGTTGCGCACATACAAACATACACCATCGTCATCAGCACCCTGCTTTTTTCATTGCTCTGCCCGACGTAGTATTCGGCCCCAAATCGGATGCACCTTAGCACGACAACCCCCCTAGCCCGCGTGCTTAGTACTCCGCACCATTATGGCCAGTGCGCGCCCATCTCTGGCGGCAGAACAGAAAAAGAGAAAGGGGGAAATCGACGCAACGGCCACGCCACCAGGGGCTGGTGTCACTTTATCACTTGAGCAGAGCCTTGATAACATGCCGAGTCCATTCGTTCGGACGTAAAAGGACCAAGCACGTTGTGGATAGCCAATTCCAGCTATCGTGGGCACTGCGGCCATTCCCAGTGGCTACAAGACATCTGCCAAGACTAAAAGACTACGCCGTACTGGTCCCGTTATTGCAGGGGATAAAAGCAGTTGGCTAATAATGCCCACAACTTTTATGGACTTCTTGGCGAATCTGCAACATCTCTGGCAGGCCACTGGAGTAGAAGTAATACTACTAGTACAATACAATGTACATACTAGGGATCTCAGCATCTGCTCTTGGTCAAGGGAGAACTGGTAAAATCTATCATAGCAAACCGCTGCACTGCTTCCCAAGTGTAGCTGTTGGATCGTTCATGGTTCATGTCGCTAGATCTGCTCGGGAGCATATTCTTTCCGATGAGCCATGAGCTGGAGCGCCCTGTGTTGATTACCTGGCTTGGCCATGAAGACCAATATTGAACTTCACAGTCAGGGCTTGCAAGGATGTAGGATCCGCGTCCCGCAAACGCCAAATTTGCCCCCGGTGTAGTGGGTTTCGGTCAATGGCAAAGAGGTTGCTCCAATGGTCTGCTCTGCTCTGGCGTCCTGATTGTGCATTGACCAGAAGCTTTCTGTATGTATTGGGTGATTGTGCAGTTTTGTTTCCCCCGGCTGTCTGTGAGATTTGCCTTCGGCCGATTGGATCGGATGGTAGCTTCGTCCGCTTGATGTTCGTTTTCTTCCTTGAACCAACCTGCCTGATCGCAACATGTACTGAGAAGATAAAGCAGCCTGGTTGGAAGATTGGGTCGAACGAGCGAAGGAGCCTGTATCAAACCTCGAAAGTACTAGTAGTGGTACTTGAGAAAAGAAAAAAAAAAGGCAAATAAAAATAGCACCAGACGCGACGGAAGGCTGCACACGGGGGCATTATGAACCATTGACCGTCAATACATGTTGCAAGTCCAGGGTAGCACAGCTTGCTGTATTCACACGGAGCACACAAGTTGGGGAACACCAGACGAGACGAGGCTCCTACCACCAGACACACCCCTGCGACATGCAACCAATCAAAAACCCCCGCCACCACGGCGCGTAGCGGCAACCAATTGAATCACAATGTTGCCCAGAACAAGCGCCGTCATCAGACTAGCATCTCATTCTCAACCTCCAACCATCGAAATCCATGAGACGACGACACTTAGACGCCGACGTCGACGCGGGAGCAGATGCGCCATAATGGAGCCCTCGCTTTATTTAGCATACAGCGGTGAAACCTGGAAACAGTGCAGAATAACAAAATGAACCACATTGCGCCGTGTTTCTGGCCACTCTGATGGGGCCGCCGAGGTTGGCCTGCGACAGTGCCTGGTTCGTCGTGGTCCTATTGTCGCGTGATTTATTCTTCTCCCATCTACAATCGTACTTCTAATGCTCCATGCCTATTCAAATTTCGTGCCTAGGTATTGTTTCGCCTTTGTTTCGAGCCGTTGGCTTTGATGGTCTTTCGCTATTGTCTTTGTCTCTCATTTTCTCAACCACCCTCTCCTTCTCGATTTTATATTTTTCAGTTTTCGTTTTGCCCTCCGTCGAGTTAACTACCCATCATTCGTTCCTGTCCTTGATTCTTGCGGCGGTATCTGAATGTTGAGAGTATCGTCCGTTTACTTTGTTGACCTGCGTTTGCGCACCACACCATCTGCTCGACGTGCAGTCTAATCACTACTCATTTCCGCGTGACGTCCAGTTGTCTTTGAGGTTTCCCTTCACGACGCAACAGCCTTTGTCGACCGTCCAGTCTAAATGAAAACATAGAAAAACGTCATGAATCCACCACCTGAATACCACAATGGACAACTGGCTCCTACAAACACCCCAAAAGCAGTGGAAGAGTGGGAAGATGACGATGTCATCACCCCGATAGACGCAACAGAACAGGTTCACATCTGCCCGCCTACCAGTGCACCGGCACCACTCCCAAGCAAGAATACAAAATCCGTGAATCTGAGAGCGTCTAGGCTATCAACGCCCAAAGTGCGAAGAATCAGATCACGCCAAAGGCAAAAAGCTCAAAATGCCAAAGCTGGCATCCGTCTCATCACTGACATGTCGGTTTTCCGTCGCAATAATCATGTCACGAACAACATGCGCAGTCCACCAGGCCGGAAAGGAAAGTTTGTCGACGCCGATGCTCTGAGAGCCCTGGAAGGGGAACCTAGTTCAGCATCAGTCGGGAACTGGAACTGGTTGAAGAAGGGAAGTGGGAAGACTCCTGAGCCGGCGACAGAAATGCGGAAAGGCCGAAATAAGGACCAACAGTTGTCACCGGAGGACAGGCCCATCGTAATTGGAATTTCGCTGGAATCGTCTGACGTGGAAGGGCGGGGGATTAGCCCGCAAAATGCGCTGGTTGACGACTCGAGAGCTCCGTTTCCTGCGCCCGAGTTGAGCAATCCTCATGCCCTCAAGGCGGCCAAGGCTGATGTGCAGGGACACAAATCTGTCTGGTCTCCTGATACGCCAGATACTTCATACTCGTTTGGATCAAGTAATGTGGCATCTAGCGTGTACTCGCAATTCATCATGCCAAATCAGATTCCCAAAGAACAGGCCTGCCCCCCCGTTCCGGAACTTCCCCCGAATTACAAGAAGGCTGCGCACCAAAGGGTTTTGAGCCTTGAGCTGGGGAAAAGTCGACAAGGGGATGATGAAAGTGGCACGCCATGCACTCTCTTCGAAGAAGATGGCGTTCCAAGCCCACAGAGACACCTAAAGTCCAGGGAATTTGATATAAGCCCTGATAGTGCCGCTTCAAGATCACATGGTTGGTGGGATCATGTCGTTACACCCTTTGTTGACAAGAAAATGTCCTTTTCAAGTCAAAAGTACAAGGCTGAGTCTCCAAAGTCACCCAAATCACCCAAGTTCCACAAAGAAATGCTCAGGGATGAGTCATGGGAAAATCTCGATGTCAAGGAAGAGTCTCGGTCAAGACTATCTCCAAACGTTGCTCCAGCACCAGTACAAGCACCGATTGTTCGAGCACCAGCACCGCGTCGAACACCATCACCACAGTCAGATACAAAACATGCAGAGAACCCTCAAAGTCTCCTGACAAAGACACAAATGTCTGTTGCAGAGCCGAGTATGAGACAGACACCGCAAATTGTCATTAGTCGCGACAGCCCCAGCCCATCAGATATTCCACCACCTTACTCACCGCCCAAGAGGGAACAAGAAGGCAAGCCCATCAGATATCGAGCCGTCTTCCCACCTGGACACCCACTCCATTCTCAATTTCCCCCTACTCCGAGACCGGCTTCTCCGGGACTAGCAGGCACAATGACTTCTCAGAGAGGACACCAAAAAGGGGCCAAGAACCACGCTTCTGCTGTGCCCACGACGCAAACACAGCCGATTACTACTCAGCCCCTTCCCGTGCGAGCAGTCGGGACATTCGTGCCTCAAGAACACGCATACTCTGCCGCAGGCAGCAGACACAAAGTTGAGCGGCAGCGGCGGCGACATGAAAAAGAGGACATCATTGCTCGCCGCGCTGGTGGATTCTGGAGAGGACGTGGCTGCATGTCGTCAGGGGGTTGTTTTGGACGCACGGGTCGTGAAGGCCGCAAGAGAAGACGGGTTTGGATGGCAATCTGGGCCGGCATCATTGCCTTGATCCTTCTCATCATCTTGTTGGCAGTGCTGCTCACACGCAACCACAGCCCAGCGGAGACACCGTCTATTTGGGTCAACTTGACAGACTTCCCGCCTATGCCTACGGGCGTCTTGACTGTGGTTGGACCGGACAATACCGCTGCCAGATCTGTTTGTACAGAGCCATCTACGCTCTGGAGCTGCTCTCTACCCAAGGATCAACAATCATCTGTTTTGCCGTATAAAGCAAACCAACCGACGCTGATTATGCAAATCCAATGGGACAACGGAACTCGTCGGTCATGGAACGTTGCAAACGCAGATGCACCTGCACCTTTATCGCGAAGAGCATTCGGAGCAGCATCTCATGCGCTGAGTGCCCTTAGGCGTGATCCAGCACCAACCGAGTTCTTTCCCGATCCCGCGGCTCCCAAGTTCAGAGAAATGTGGTTCCTCGGCGAGACAACTGACAACATTAAGTCCGACCAGAAAGGCGGCGAGCCAGCACCCTTCTATATCAGCCTTCTCAGGTCGACAAACGACACGGTCCCGACACCAAATCTTTCCCGCAGAGGAGTCAGCCCCAATATTGGCAACACCACATTCAAGGATCTTATCCCGCCTCCAGACTTGGAAAAGGACGGCACGTCCGCCCCGGCCGTCATGATTCCCAGCCCCGTCCAGCAGCCTATCCGTCTCTTTGACCGTGGCCTACCCACCGAACACTACGGCTTCTATACATACTTCAAGCGCACCATCTTTCTCAAATCCGTCAACATTCAGAACAACACGGACAACAATATCCCGCTGGATGAGGACGGTGGATGCCGCAAGACAGAAGCCTCTCATCTCGTGACCTGGGGCGACACGCGGCTTCACGTGCAGATTTGGACGCGAGCGCTGTCAAGCAATACGTCCTCGTTGCTCAAAGCGGATGGTAGTAAAGGAATCGGCGGAACAGGTGAACTCGTTAGGCCTGGGACCATGCCGTACCCCGTGACTATTACACAGGACACGCATGGCGGAGATCCGGATAAGAAGCTCGTCTGGGATCGACCCATTGACGATCGACTGCAGGTTACGACGACGGAGGCGCAGGCGCTGGTCAATGACATGGGAATTGGGGGAACATGGGTTAATAAGAGGGGGACTGGGGATGCCAAGTTTGGAGGGTTTGATGGAGGCAGCGGAGGATGTAAGTGCGAGTGGGTGAATTGGGTGTAACTTTGATCAATGCTGAATATCAGTTGCTTGGAAAATGATGACACGAACAACGTTGTTATGATCGGGCACGTGACGTGCGTTTTTGTAAGATGAGGTGGAAGGTGGGCATTGGAGGGACCTCCTGCGTTCCAAATATGAGTCGCATATCCGTACAGCTGTCTCTTTTTTTAAAGAATGGATCAGTTGATAATACAAATTACAAAATTACACGTCTTCACAGCCACTAATAGGAAGATGTTTGATGTCCATACCAAGTCGAGCTCCCCACCACGGCCCGAACAGCTGCCACTTTGAAAAGGTGGGGGGAGCTTCACCTCGTCGACCTCTTAAAGCTCACACCTTCTCAACTACCACCACCACCACAACCACCCTTTCCAACTCGCCATCAACCAATGCTCATCCTCCTCCGTCCACGATGTCGCTCTCTCCAGTCTCTGCTCCCACGTCACAGCGAGCACCACCCTAATAGAAGCCGCCTCCAGAAGCGAACCCTGCTCACCCTTGCCATCGAGTCGTCATGCGACGACACTGCAGTCGCCGTCCTCTCCCATACACCGCCCTCCACAACGCTCCTTTTCAACGAGCGCATATCCTCCGATAACCGCGCCTTCAAGGGCGTGCACCCCGTCATAAGCGTCCAAGGCCACAACTCGTCCCTCGCGCCGCTCGTCCAGAGGGCGCTCCAGTACCTCCCCGATGCCTCGCCCTCCACCCCATCCATCCGAATCCCCTCCAACGACGGAGCGCTCCTGATGAAGCAACGGCCGGACTTTGTGTCCGTGACGAGGGGCCCTGGGATAATGGCCAATCTAGCAGTGGGATTGAACATGGCCAAGGGCCTGGCAGTCGGATGGGACGTGCCGCTCGTGGCCGTCCATCACATGCAGGCTCATGCGCTGACGCCCCGGCTCGTGAGGGCGTTGGGGACCGACGCGGGGAGATGTAGCGACAGTCCCGGCCCCGAATTCCCGTTTCTGTCGCTCCTCGTCTCCGGCGGGCACACGCAGCTCGTCCACTCGACAGGGCTGACGGGGCACCGCATCATCGCGACGACGGGGGACATCGCCATCGGCAACCTCCTCGACCAGACCGCCCGCGTCATCCTCCCCGCCGACGTCCTCGACGCCAGCCCGGACGTCATGTACGGCCGGCTCCTCGAGTCCTTCGCCTTCCCGAACGGCCCGTCCCACGAGCAATACTCCTTCTTCGAACCGGCCGCGTCCCGCTCCGACGAAATCAACACCCTCCCTACGGGATACGCCTGGGATATCCCGCTCCCCTTCCGCAACACACGCCGCCTCGCATACTCCTTCTCCAGCATCCACACACGGGTCCATCGCATCGCCGCCTCCAACCCCAGCATGCCTCTTGACGAACGCCGCTCTTTGGCTAGGCACACCATGCGCGCTGCCTTCCAGCATCTGTGTTCACGGCTGGTTGTCGCTCTCGAAGACAGACCCGAGCTGCGACCAGCCGCAAGGACAATCGTCGTCTCGGGCGGCGTTGCCTCAAACAAGTTCCTAATGCATGTTTTGAAAGAAACCCTCCGCGTCAGGGGGTATCCGGACACGGAAATCATAGCCCCACCGGTCAAGTTCTGCACGGATAATGCGGCGATGATTGCGTGGACGGGGATGGAGATGTTTGAGAAGGGGTGGCGTTCGGATTTGGGTGTCTTGCCAGTGGGCAAGTGGCCGATGGAGATGGACGGTGGTGATGGAGATGGGATATTGGGTGTCGGGGGTTGGATAAAGAAGGGGAGAGCGTGGTAATGACGGAAACGGGAGACAGCTTTAATGAGACTGTATATTATTTGTATCATATATCTGGGCTCTAGGCGTAGACGGGAGCTGGACCCTACATGCATGTACGATAGACAGGACCAGGAAGCAAACGCGTGTAGGCGTTTTTGTAGTATGTACTTATGATGAGAGTGTGGATCGTCACTACACACACACACACACACACAAGTTCAATGTACATTCGGTGTCAAAACCATGTCAACACAATGAAGTAAGTCTTTGTTTATCTTGTTGTACAAGTTACATTGCTGGCAAAGACAGCCGCAACACTACCCGTCCACCCGCTCTTTCTCCACCATGCCATTCACACTCATCTAGTCCAACTCGCTTGTGACGTTGCTAAACTCTCCCTTCTCCAACTTGGTCTTCCAGAACACTGGGTTTGTATCCGTGAAGCCGTGCTTCACCCAGCCTTCCTCCTTGACATGGTACAAGTTGATGAAGCCACCAGAGTAGGCATCGCGATGCGTAGCCGCCAAGATGCTTCGCCTACCAAGCTCCAAGGCATCCTCAACGCTCAAGTCATAGTTGTACTCGGCGTCCAGAACACCATACGCAAATGTCTGGCCGGACCCAACGCAGAACAAGTTCCCTGCGAGCCGGGTGCCGTCGCTGTCGACGTAGTACAGCGCGGGGCCCTCCTCCTTGGTCACGCCAGCGCACATGGTGCCCATGCTGAGCCCCATGCCCTTGTAGCTGTAGACCAGGTTGGCGAGGATCTTGCTGGCGGCTGCGACGCTGATGCGGCGTTTGTGTCGGAGCTCGTGGAGGCGGCACTGCATGCCGAGCCAGGCCAGCCAGTACTGGCAGTCGGCGGCACCGCCGGCCATGGTGCCCAGCAGGACGCTGTTGATCTCGATGACCTTCTTGACCGTCTGCGAGGCAATCCAGTTGCCGGCCGTGGCGCGGGAGTCAGTAGCGACGATGATGCCACCCTGGAAACGGAAGGCGAGCGTTGTGGTGCCGTGAGCAATCTTGATGGGACAGTCGGGATTTGATCGGTCATCTGTGGCGGCTCGGAGCCAAGATGATGGCTGCATTGCGCATGTTAGCTTTTCCGACTCGGTGGATTCTCCTTGGGAAACAAAGCGTCGATTTTGATGACGGGCGCTTCTTTTTCGGGTTGCTTAACAAACCTGAGAAATGGGAGGCATGGCAAACTTGGTAGTCAGGGACGACGTGGCATCCATCATCTCCTGTGCCTCGTTCTCGAACGGCTCATTTTGCTCATATGCCGGCCGGCTGTATCTAGATACAAGAGTATCCATCGTAGCGATAGAGAGATGAAGCTGGGAGGTGATCAAAAGAGCTTTGTGATGCCCGGTTCGGTTCGTTGGAAGACCACAGTCCGGGATGCTAAGGTAAAAATTGACAGCCACAAAGCTGGCAGAGTTTGGTAGTTGTGGGAAGATGGATAGAGTCGTGGTGGATTGATGGTGCAGGCCGCTTCAGGATGGAGACGTGTGTTGAAGGTGCATGGAGGAGGTCCGACGTTGGCAAGTCAGGCAGCTTCCGTATCGCGCGTCACCAACAGCAGAGCAGCAGAGCTTCCTGGATCCGCCGGATAACCAATCAGAGCGCACCATGGACCGGAGGTACCTGCATGGCCGGTTACATAATACGGACTGAACTAGGAAAGTTGGTGCCTTATCGCCTAGCAGACAGGGTACCTAATAAGTTACCTTAGACACAAGACCCATGGCGATGATGACGATTAATACGGCATGCAAATGCTTGGTCTTATTTAGACAAAAAATAAGAAATGAAAAAAAAAGGGTTCTGTTTAGTCGACTGGTTTATTGAGTGCAGTAGGGAACTTGGGATAGCGCAGTAAGTATAATCGAATTCATTCCACAAAGACTATTCAACTAGGATATCAAGCCTAACAATACGATTTTCCTTCCCTACCCCCCTCCCTTCCATGGTTACAATCAGAAAATCTAACATCCTCTTTTGCCTTTTCACTGTCGAATACTTGATAATCGTAGCCCTTACAGACGTATTGGTCGGAGAAGGTTTAAAAGGAAGAGGAAATAAAAAAAAGAAGAAAAACTAACAAAAAAACAAAAGAAAAGAAAAGGGACGGATTTCCCACGAACAAACCAGAAACTAAAGAGATGCTCGCCACCGCAAATAAGACGATACCACACGTAAAATACTATGAGAAGCTGCTTCGTAAATCATGCTATCCGGAATAGCATATGCAGATTCATATCAATACCAATGTGAAAAGAGGCTTAGAAAGACACCCAGAATACGGCAGCCCCAACCTAAGGGTTAGGTGTCGTTTCCCGGCTAGTTCGAGACTCTCGCTTGCTCAAGAAACTACGTCGAAGGTTGGACTTTGGCGTATCGGGCGCGTCTGTTTCAGCAGGTTGGAAGCTGCTCTTCAGTGTGACTGTACCATCACCAACAGTAAGCTCCTTTGCATGGCCGGATCCACTTTCATCCACAAAGTAGACATGTTCTCCAAGTTCGTCACTACTTCCGATGAAGTGATCTCCCTTGGCCTCAACCTTGAACTGGGCATCAGCACCGCAAGTGACCTTGAACGTCTCCTCGAAGCTCCATTTTCCATTCGATGACTTGAAGTGCTTCGTCTTGCCAACCACCTTCTCTTTTGGTGAAAGCATTGACACCTGGATGAAAAGATCTGTTGATAATGGGTAACCAGAAGCGCCCACAATAGTAAAAGTAGCGGTGCCTTTGGAACCGCTGCCCGGTACAGTACTATGGATTGAAGTAGCAATGCTCTTCGTCCGGGCATGGCCGGGAGAGCTCGCCTGCGACGTGCTGATAGCTTGCGCCGCATCTTGAGATTCAGAAAGCCCAGTAGCTTTTCGCAGCCCAGGCTCCATTCCTGGACCTCCCTCACTGGGTGTGGTGGCAATGACCGGAATCTCAGGATTTTCTGGCACGGCTCCATTTTCCTTTTCTTTCTTGCCGCCAAGAAGACCGCGCTTCAAGAATGATGCACCTTTGCCGACACCATGACCGACAACGCCGGCCACAGCGACGCCTCCCTTGATGGGGGCTCCAGCAACGCCCGTAACGATTCTAGTAGGAGCTCCGAGACCAGAAAAGGTTGAAGTTCCGTGGATGCTTCTTGTGATGTAGTCTGGGCGGAAGAGCAATCGCAGACGAATGGTACCGGACTTTCCGTCCAGAATGTATTTGGACTCACTGGCTTTGAACGGCTCGAGGGAGTCCAAGTTAATTACCGCCGCGCCCAAAAAGTCGGGCTTGTCGGCAAAATCATAATCGTACACATCGACATTGAACTTGGCTGCGGTTCGCGAAGGAACGGCAACCTCAAAGTACTCGTTCCATGTTGGATTGAGAGTCTTCTTGATGACCTTGGTTTTGTAGACCTCCTCGCCGTTGAGCTCAAACTTGCAGTATGGATCGCTCTTTCCGTTTCGGTCAGCAGATGGTAGTTCTGTACCATCCAGAACATCCACGCGAAGATTGCCCATGTTGTTGATGCTTTCGCTCGGATCCAATTGCATCTTGATAGGAATATACTTTAGACTGACTTTGACCCATCCATCCTTGCCGTCATCGGTTCGCAGTTTGAGCATCGTTGGGTTGTTCTATAACGGAAAATTAGCACCCCCTTCGATTATTTACTTCTTCCAATTCTGTCATCATGTAGCCTCCACATTTCTTTCACTTACCAAGCACTGCTTGAGCGTCTCCATGGTATTTCCAGTGAGTTGAGCCAAAGTTTGGTCCTTGTCGTCACCTTTCTTGCGAGCTTTCAGAGTGAGACGGGAGAAGTCAAGTTCACGGATGACACAGTCGCCGATTTCATCGAACTTATAAGTCTTGGATGGGGCAGTCGAAGTAATGTAAGAGGCATAAGCCATGTCATCCACGAATACTTCAAGACGGCTGTTGCTTTCGGGTAATTCGGCTTCCAGGATGCGGAAGATGAGGAGACCACTTTCATGTTTGAGGAGCTCTTCAGGGCTGAGCCGGATTTTCGGAGGGCCTTGCCTCTCGACAGAGCGTCGGTCTGTAGTTTCAGAGTCTGCTTTGTCACTGCCTCCGTTTGAATTGACCTTTTCCAAGTTTGCCTGTGGTTTGTCCATACTAGCTCTGACCTTGCCAGCATTGGAAGAACGATCAACGGAAGCGCGTGGAGTTTCCTCAGATTTGTCACCAGCAGCTTTGCCGTTGGCCTTCTCTGTCTTCGGGGCAACTTCGGCCTCTCCCTCCTCCTCTCCCTCCTCTTCTTCTTCGGGATCTGCAACATTGAGGCAGGGGTAGAAGGCGGCGGTATAGGTAAGCGTTCCTTTGGCAATGCCTTTACCGTGTAATCGCAGGCCCTCGTTGCGAACCGACTTTTTATCATTTACCATGTATTCGCCTGTTTCCTCTTGGTGAACATAATCACCAGTAAACAGTTCTACTAAACCAAGACTGCGGTCTTTGCCCATCTTTTCAGCATCCATAACTTCCAGAGTGAGACGGTCGCGGGGAGAATGGATGGGTACATAGAGAACCTCATCCCACTCAGGGTTGAGGTCATTCTTGAACGTTACAGTCCTTGCTTTGTCAATGCCGGAGAGCAGAACACGAACGTACGGGTCAGATTTGCCGAATGACTCAAAGTTTCGCAAGTCGGTGGCTTTTTGGAAGTGCAGCCGCATGACGCCGATTGGAGTAGAATAACCACCCGTACCAATGACGCCAGAGATGGCAACAGGTCGCCATTGCGCCATCATCTTGACGCGGCCAGACTGGGCCCCAGACAACTGATACCACTCTTTGCCTTGTGCCATGCAATCAAGAATTTCATCGAGTTTAATCTGGTACATTCCGAGGGAAGGGTCGCTGATAAGACCGCGATCATCCTTAATAGTGACACCTAGTTTAGCCTTGCGTCGGTCTGTGATGAGAATCTCTTTGGATCCATTATCCCAAATGGGGTTATTAGTGCGCTTGAGTATCTTGGTTTGGTGTAC